TTATGATGCAAATGTTATGCTGTATATTGATATGTATTGATTACTAGTAGTCCCAGGTTTCTTTTTCAAGAATACTCAATATCCATTGATTAATAGTGCCAATACACTAAGATTAATATCAGTACATGTGCGATAAGATGTCGGGTTTCTATCCGATTGTAATCTAAAATAGGTTTTAGATTGGACCGTAAATTATGACACGAGTGGTGTATGAACAAGTATAATACCGTCCGTGTGATGACAGTGTTTAGTACCCGGACAAAAACAACTGTCATCATCTACACCAGAACGACTAACATTAATGTCATCATGTTGATAGGTAGTAATTGTAGATGCCGCAAATAAATGGTATAACTAGAGCACAATCAAATCAATCTTGGAATACAACTTGTCGATTATGTACAAATAAAATGAGATCGATGCGATGATGCGAATAAAACGTAGCAATTATAATCAGTATTCTATAAAGTTAGGTAATACATTGTTTATATATATGTCTTGTATATATGGTTAATCAGCCACGGTATCATGATTATGACCTTCCTAATTGAAATGGAGATCGAAAATCCTGTTGACGCTGATGAGTATATTAGTGGTTTTGTCAAACAGGGGACTTCTCGCGGCGAAAACAACTGTGGGTTGACCGATCAATATACCAGCTGTAGTGGAATTTCTGAAAGAAGCGGGCGACGATTCTGTAATCATCGTGGTATACACTCTCTAATTACTTTGAAGTGGATACGATCGCATTGTAAATGGGGCTGTCTGTCAACAGAATTACGGGACTAAAACGTTGCACAATCCGACGCCAACCCCAAAACATTATATTATTCAACATTTTCAATAACTGAAGTGCGATTTGGAAAAGGGGCTAACACTTTTGAATAATAATGACAGTGAACAAAGTTTCAATAAATGGTGTGACTGGAATATAGCCACGTGACGGCCAAACAACCGGTTGATTAATGGCCGATTCATTCGCATTGTCCTTTCTTTTTGACGTCTAATTATGCAAAAAAAGTCCACATGCTGCCTCAATATATAAAACGTACCAGAAAACAACTCAGACGTCCTCCAATCTTATTCTGTCTCCTATTTTTGAGACAAACAACTAAATTTCGTTACAGACAATGGAAAATGTTACTGTTCTATAGTGTACATTGAAGACCTTCCACAAGATCATTATGTAAACGTGGGAAGATAACTGACTGGAAACTGTGTCAATATTTAAAATAGTTTCGTTCAAGTTGGTCCCATGGCCGCCGACTCGATGCGCAATTAACTGAGAGTGTCCTCTTGCGCGCCAATAAAATGAACGGTCTCAAATTGAAAATAACATTCTGATTTTTTTGGTTGTTTAGTTCAAAATCCAATTTTTGAAAGGGCGATGTTGTCACCACAGGCATAACTTTGGAAACTACAGCTAAACTTCTAATAGTGATTGTTTACCGCCAATTCATCAATTGAAATTACGCAAAAAATAAAAAAAACATGTTATGTCCCAGAAAATATTCACGATTCACTCGATCGTCATTAGCCTTGACCTTAATTGGATGTAAATCAGAATGAAACTCGAATTGGAATAAATATTGCATGATATATCCGAATCACAAAATTATCAAGGATCCATGAGTATTTGCGGCCAGTTTAATTTTAATAGACCATGAAATATTTAAAATAAAAGTTCTTCTTTTTTATAATTGAATGTCTATATGTAGGACTTTCACTTCACCAAACTATTGTAATTTCTAAAAATACACATTGATTCTTTGATAGAATGGTGCTAGCACAATGACTGACCATTTTTATTTCGTTCGTTGTATTAGTCGACATTCTTATTTTAGTAATCTAATGGAATGTCTTGATTTGAAATCATGCTACTTCAAAATAAATTCATGCTTTACATATTTATATGTTGAACAGATGGGGCCATTTGATTCTTCATGTGATTGTAATTTTAACTGTTTACACTGTACCGGCATTTGGTATCACACATGAAGTCTATTCATGATCACGAGTGTTCATTACATTTTAAAATAATATCACTTGTTAACAGGTAGTAGTAATATATTATCTGTATTACATTGGAGTAATTTTCATAGAAACATCTGATCTATTTACACATTTATTTTAGGTTCAATCACTGAAAACGTAATCACGCTTTCTGCCACTGATTTAAACATCCTCATGGGAACAAGGAAGCACTTTGAGTTGACCGTGGTGATATCTGTGATACCAGACAGTGCTGAGGTAATCGGAAATGCAGATGACTTATTTGAATTGATGACTTATGTCTCGAGCACAGATGGTACGACAACTTCGACCAAAGTGTCAGCTAGTATCCCTTCGACTGTGATATCAATGATGGAAGATGAAGCAACTACAATCGACGATGTGGGGGCAGACATTGATTTAAACAACCTCCATGTGCCACAATAACTCTCCTTTGTGTAGATGTTGTACCTCGTATAACTGCGGGTTGGAAATGGTCAGACGATTCACCATTAAAAAAAGTGTGCGTCGGACCTCTGCTATGTTCAAGTGAGTACAGTTAATGTTAGTAGAAATATTATTACGGAGATATTTATGCATGTGTGAGATACTATACACTGTACAGGAAGACCCCTTCGCATTTTACAAAACATAATTTTCAATGTGTATTCATTTATAATTCCTATCTCGAACATATATATTTCCCGGATTCTGTAATCATGCTAAAAACGTGCACACCTGCTGAACTAGTATTCACTACTGACACATATTACTATTATTCTAATGCAGGTCAAATACAGGCGATATCTGTTGCAGTATCCCCGACTAGCGGGACAGACTTGCACATTATTATGGGCACTTCAAAAGTTTATGATTTAAACATCGTCATCAACACTGGACCAGACACGTCTCTAATAAATGGTGCTGGCGACGATTTGTTCTCCGTATCATTCTACCTATTTCAAAGCCACGGCCAGCATGGTATAACTGGACCATTATTAGACGCAACAGTTTCTTCGGATGTGGTAACCGTGCAACCTAATTCGGCCACCATGCTGCTCGATGTCAGTAACCCTCACACTCCAGATGACCTGTTGGGTTTAGAGTGCGGTACCTGGGATGAGATTTGCGTGTCAATCTCACCAGCCTTAGGTTCTGGGTGGAAATGGACATTAAATATAGCTAAAATAGATACATGTACAGCCATAACTGGTTGTCAAAGTAAGTTAATTTTTATTATTATACATCTGTCACCGTAACGCCATAGGTTACAGCGTGTCGTAATTTTGCGGTATTTTACGGGGTAATTTCATCCTACCATTAAAGGAAATGCAAATTCCAAATATGGAATGATTACGCGCGTTAGCGTCCTCTAATGATAAAAACAAACATGGCTGCCACCAGGGTTTGACCGGACTCCACACAAGGAAGTTCGCTTATTCTGTTCTAAACTTTTTGAATTTCGACATTCCCATGATGTATCCGTGGAAGGAAAAGATGTATAATAATAAGGTTATTACGAGAATACTTCAGAGTATGCGCTTA